TTGCAGAACTGGGGCTGTTTGCCCGGGTTCAACCCAGCCACGGCAGCGTTTATCTACGAGCTGGGTTTGCCGGTAATAAAGATTAACGAAAGGTGCTGTTGAAGGGGAGATACCCAGAAAACAAATCAGGCAAATCCAAAACTACTCCAGCAGACGGCAGGACCAGGGTCAGAGGTTTGGGAATCCCAAAGGGTTGAGCTCCAGCCCGTCAGTCCCCGATTCCCCCCCACCCCCCCCATTACCTGGGGCTTCAGGGCATCCTGCGGCACGCAGCGACCGTCCCAGCACAGCCCGCCGGCTTTGCAAGGGGTGCCATCAGCCCACGGCAAGCTGCCGTTCTTGGTATGGCAAAGAGTTTCCCCGCTGCCGGTCCTGCACCAGAGTTGGGCACAGATATCCTCCTCCGTGGTGTTGGGGCAGTGCTGGAAGTCTTTGCCAAATATCTGCTGGCATTGCTGGTCCAGGCTGTACAGGGTTCCCTGGCCGGGCAGCTCGACGGGCAGGGAGATGGGGTCGGCCGGAGCATCGAGCAAGCAGTCACCTAGGCAAGGATCAAGAATGAGGCGTTAGGGCTTGACGCCACGGATTGCACCAAGCAAGATACCCCAAACCTCTCTCTGTGGTCTGATTTGCCTCCCCCTTCATCCCACACACCCCTCCAGGCGTTGCAAAGAGCCTAAGCAATTAAGGAAAAGGTTGTTTTGAGTGATGAGGCTGCTGAAGGGAGCCTTACCGTGCCCTCCGTCCAGGAACTCGGTGAGGTACATGGCGCTGCAAGGAGACCAGGGCTGGGTCTTGTTCAAGTGGATGAAAAGAGGGGCCATCATATGGTGCTTGCCGAGGGGCCCGAAAAGCCGCTCGCAGGTCTTGGAGTCGTCGTGGGGCATGCTGAGGACATGGCCTGGGGAGCAGAGAGCATCGGTGAGCTGCAGCCTCCAGCCCCTCCTCTGCTGCAGATAGTGCACGGACAGCTGGGAGCATCCTTAAGTTATCCAGCAGTTCCTATTGCTGCAAAAGCTATCTGCTTCGATCGATCAGAAGCAATAAAAAACCCAGCCCTTGCTCTATCTCAGCGGTGCAGCCCGCTGCGTGCAGGGCAAAGCAGCCCAAATTAGTCAGAGCATCTCTAGGAGTGGCAAACCAAGGGGGAGAAGCGCTTGGTCCCACGCCTTAACTCATCACATCAGGCAAATGCGCCGATTTACACCAACTCGGGCACTCCTAAGTACCTTTGCTGGTGCAAACCGGCTTCTGCCAGTGCCAGAAGCTCCCCAGTGCTGCCCAAGGCTTGGTGAGTGGTACCCAACTGGGAGATGCTGGTGCTGGGATGCGCTACATCCCCTCCCAGCAGCGAGGCTGGCCATGCCAGGCTGAAAAAGCAGAATTCCCCAACCCGGGAAAGGGATGCATTACCCAGTTCATGAGCCAAGGTGTAGGCTGCTTGCAGACCCTCATCCTCAATCACCGAGCAGCTTTTGTTGCGGTCGCACATGGTGCCGATATCCGCCACTCCCAGCGTGTCGCAGCTTTGGTGTCCGCAGAAGTCCTGTTTGCGAGCAGCGCCGAGAGTGGGGGGTAAGGCAGGGTGAAGGGGTCCCACATTCCCCCCCCCATCTCTGAGCAGAGCTGAGCAACCGACTGGTGGTCTGAACCCCAAATGCACACCCCCCCCCCAATTGCTTTGCCACAAGCTCCATTCTTTGTGTGGTGGGAGGATTCCTCCGCTCCTTCCAGGGACACCTCGATCCCTTTCCTCTCCCCCCACCCTGAGCATCCCCAAAGGACCCTTCAGACCTGTCTGGTCAGCAGGATGGCCGTGTCGTAATGCTCCGGGTGTCGATCGCTCGGGGGGTTGAACCTTTGTTGCCAGCTACAGAAGTTGCGCAGGGTGAGCCCGCCGTTGTCGGACACCTCCGGCCCCGCTGTCGCCTCCTCCACCACCAGCACCTTCACCACCACCAGGTTGATGGAGTTCTTCAGGCTGGGATGCTTGTAGATGCGAGCTGCCATGGACATCAGGGTCAGGACGTG